CCCATAGCGTCTGGACTGACCTTTTGGGGGTTTTGGCCACCACAGGACAACAGAAAAACTACCCATCCTCTGATACCTGTAGCTCATACCAGACTGTAGAGAACCAGCCATTTCACCTCTAAAGTAGAAGGCTCTAAACCAGATTAGATGCTTCCATTTTTTAATTGCATTCAGCCACAGCAAAGCCAGCCTCACAAGGTGGAGGGAACAGATTTGATCTGAGACACCAGTCTTTCATGGCTCAAATCAGTCTTACTGGCCAGGCAAAATTGACTGAGTGAGGAGTCGGGGTTCATCGATTGCAATTTAAGGCTCCTCTGAGGCTTTGCTTGCAGGCCCAAACCCAGAGTCTAATGGCAAAAGCCCCCCACTTTATACATGTAAGTTCCCATTGGAGTCTATGTACGTCTACGTCGAACTAGGGATGCAAACGTAGGCGACCGAAATTGCTAATGAAGCGGGGATTTAAATATCCTGTGCTTTATTAGCATGATCTCACCGGTGTGTTACTCTGCTCAACAGCTGTTCCAAAAGTGAAAGTGCGTGCCGGGATGCATTAGTTTGAACCAAACCCCTATGGGTATTGTGGTAGAAATGTAGCCGTGTTAGTCTGGTGCAGCTGAAACATGCTACAGTCACTACAATGGTGTTAATCTCGGGGTTTTCCACAGTTATCCTTTGACGGCTATCGTCAGGCTTCCCATCATTGTCTCTCACTCTTGGGGATGACTGCCTGTCTCCAGGGTACTTTAACTCTGCTAATTTAATTCAGCCTCAGACACAATGGATTATCTTCAAGATTCCCACTTCTTGACTGCCTGGGCATTTGTGAGGGCTCTCACACACATACATCCTCCACTCACACCACACCATTTTGCAGAGAGTTTCAGACAAGATTAGAGTTTAGAAGGGATTATGCAGCTACTAAAGGAACAAAAAGGAATCTTGCACAACTTAGTTTGTGATGCAGACAAGGGGTACAACTTAAATTGTAATGCGAAGAAGAAGCAAGGCCCTGCAGCAAACATTGTCTAATCGTGACAGGGTGAAATAGACGCATACAGAACTTAAAGTCATTATACATAATATTTATATTCTTATAACGTGGGCTCACCAAGCAGCGGCATGCCCTGCTCACCAGCTGTGCAGATCACGTGGCACTGGCTGTGCCGGCTTGTAATCTACTCGCTATGGGCGAGTAGATTACAGGATTTGTCGAGTCCTGCTTATAACCAATACTAAACAGTACATTTTGGCTACACAAAGGCGGCCTTGGAAGAGAGTACAAGGAATCAGTGAGCACTCTCTCTGAATCACTGTCTACCTCAGTGTTTCTCAAAGGTGTTCCGTGGAACCCTGGGGTTCAGTGAAGTGAAAATAAGGGTTCTGCATGAAAATTCCATTACAATAGTATTATTTTTAAATCATAAAATGTTATGTGATTTGTTTTTAAATATGTGCATTTATTGCTCTCATGCCTTTGTTTAGCATTTGTTTATTATTATCCTTACTTATTTGTGGTCTACTTTTTCAGCTGTTAGACTATCAGGGGTTCTGCAAAATTCTTTCAAGTTTAAAAGGGTTCCATGGCCAAATAAAATTGGGAAACACTGGTCTAACTGCTCCTTTTCACACTACACCTATCATCACGGTGATATCCAAGAAACAACAGTAAACACTCAAGCCTCTGCTGAAATACAATCCTTAGGGGATGGAGCTGTAAGCAGTGAAGGCTATGCTGCATCCTATACATCTTCTGCTCTATTCCACGTCTGTATCCTTTCCAACAGGTTTAGAAAAAAAGTCCTGCACTGCAGGAGGGGAGAACTAGAGCCTAGAACAGACACAGCTCATGGGGCTCCTAGTCAAAGCAGCATTTGGCCACTTTGAAGTTTTCAAGTTTTAATTGGGTGAGATTCTTGGAACAGGATCCAACAGTCCTCTGTGCTTCTATAGTGTTGATGATGTGATGTGGGGTCCCAGGATATTAAAGAAACAAGTGGAGGGGGGAGATCATATCTTTTATTGGAACAACTTCTTTTGTGGATTGAAGAGAGATGCTTTGCAGCTTACACGGCTATTCCGGTCCCTGTAGCTCCAACGTGGAGTCTCTCTCATCAACAGAAGCAGGCCCAATAAACACTATGATATCCCCCACTTTATCTCCTGTCTGCTTTTTGGGGACTCAGAATTACATGTGATAATTAATAAACTGTTCCCACATAATCTGGCTTTACCCATCCCTTTCAGCCCCCCTCCTAGCCCTTCACAAGTTGGGCCAGCATATTTCACTGGTGCTGCTCCTCAGTGGAGTTGGACATGTGGGCTGTGTCTACACTGGCATGAATTTCTGGAACTGTTTAAAACAGAATACTATTCTGTTTTCAGTTTTTCCGGAAAAGGAGCGTCTACAGTGGCAGGCTGCTTTTCCGGAAAAGCGTCTGTGGCCAATGTAGACGCGCTTTTCTGGAAAAGAGCCCCAATCGCCATTTTCGCGATCGGGGCTTTTTTCCGGAAAAGACTACTGAGCTGTCTACACTGGCCCTTTTCTGGAACAGTGTTCCGGAATAAGGACTTATGCCCGAGCGGGAGCAGAATAGTTTTTCTGGAATAGCAGCTGATTTTGTACAGTATTGCTTTTTCCGGAAATTCAAGGGCCAGTGTAGACAGCTCGCAGCTTATTCTGGAAAAGCGGCTGATTTTCCGGAATAAGTGGCCCAGTGTAGACACAGCCATTGTGTATGGTGGGCACACTGGGTGGGGGACACCCGGCACTGAACACAACAAGGGCTGCTGTGTCCTGGGGGTGTAGCACTGGGGCCTGGAGCTTGGGGACAGAATGTGGCTCAGGGCAGGTGGTACATGGTGCTCTAACAGTGGTGGGCAGCACAGGGCACAGTCCCAGAGCTGCTCCAGGAGGAGCTGAGGAAGCTCAGAGGGTAACTTGGGGGTGATGCCCAGCCAGGAGAGGCTGAGAGGGGTGTTGGGGCAATGCTCTGGGTGGGGAAGGGGCTGAGAGGGGGGGGAGGAGCTGAGGAAGCTCAGAGGGTAACTTGGGGGTGATGCCCAGCCAGGAGAGGCTGAGAGGGGTGTTGGGGCAATGCTCTGGGTGGGGAAGGGGCTGAGAGGGGGGTTGAGGGCAATGCAGAAAGGTGGGGGAGAGGTTAGTGTTGGGGGTGATGCTCAGGGGTAGGGGAGGTGCCTCCGGGCGGGTGGCGGGAGGCTGGGCCCGTGTGCGCCTCTG